TTTCTCTGAGAAAAATAATTGCTATTTAATCTTTACAAATAGTGCCTACGTGCATAGGCGTCCTCAGAAATGTTTCCAGGAGGGGAGGGGGGGGGGGTTCTTCCAGATATTTGCTATTTCAGCTCACATCACTGGTTTCACATCAGATATTCTGATGTGAAAGGAAGGAGTTGGTGTTATTTCAGCACCCTTTTGTTTCAATTCTTAATCCTGCTCTTTTGAAAGCACGATGATTTAACAAAATTTAAACTCATCTAAACTGTCTCAAGTTATAAAGCATTAACTGATTGTGGAGTAAAATAATTCCTCAACATACTTACATTTGCTGACACTTATAGCTATTACTCGACAGCCAGGGTTTCTTTTTTGCCCATTTAAGCATTGGTCTGATTTTTTCTCGCTTGCTCCAGTCTTTTATACCCCACTCAATTGCCCTTGGCGATATTTGTCTCGTGATACTCTTCACCTATGTCAATGCACCCTCTATCCTGGTACTGAATATAAGCACCTCATTCATATAGTTTTATCACGTTTTCTCGATAAAGCGTCACTAACAGGTTTCCCTGTATTACGATCGTTGGGGGATAGTTTGAATGTTATCGTTTTATCTAGTTGATTTTGTAATACCAGGTAGATTAAAGTTACGTGTTCTTTCTCTATAATTGGTTGTGACCTGTCTCTTTAAAGTGCTGTATCCCCTTTACCTGCAGGTTTATTCTTTGTGGCTGCTGACCTACTGACATCATCGGTTGGAGTGATTTGCACTGTTTGTCCACAGACCACTTTCTCATTCTCTCTATGTTCTCAGACCAATTCTTCTTACCCAACACTCTGTCAGATTGGAGAGGGGGTTCAATCTTTTTCTCCGACTCACCTCCTCACTCTATCTTTCTATGTCCAGTCATATTTTGATTTTGGTCATGTTCAGTGAGGGTCTTGAAGGTTTTATTGCCTGCACTTTTACTTTTAGAGATACTAGACAACACTTTATTCTGGGCTCACTTTGAAGACGAAGTATCTTCTGTGAGTCACATCTATTCAGATTTTTTTTCTATGTCCTTAGCAGCCCAGTCTAATTGCCCACTGGAGGTCATTGTGCAGACTTGTATGTGGAACTCCTCCAATACCTTTATCTCACATTATTTGCCTGATCTAGCAGTCTTTTCATCTGGGGTTTTTTGCCAACCCCTGTAAGGGGCCCTCCTACCAGGGTCCCAGGGTGTTTATTTCCCAGATGTTGGTAGGAGCAGCACCAGCCTATGTGGGAACCTACTCTTTAATACCAGTTCAGATTTGATCCAGTTGGGGTGTGCATGGCCCTTCTTTTTGATCAATATTAGTTCAGTATATTGTTCATGGAAGGAGGTCCAATATTTCCTCATAAGCCCAAAAGTGGAGTGGTCCCATCCTAGGTCTTTGATTAAGTACAGTTGTTCCACATCCTCCCTATAATTCTGGGAGCAAGTGGAAGGCTCCTTGCTCACTTGGTTGGGCAGTGAGGATGAATGTTAATAATTCCAGATCGGTTGAGTAAGGCATACACAATCATGTCATTCCGAGCCTGGGGTGTTGCCTTTAGGGCTTCTTCAGGAGAAGGTTTGCCCACTTCGTTGTTGCTTACTTTCTTGTCGTGATTCCAGTGGTTCAGAATGCGTCACTGTATGGCTACAGGATAGGAGCCAATGAAAAGTATATATATATAACATTGTGGTCCAATTTCCCTAGCCACCAACGTGGGATATAGGGATCATGACCCTTTAATTCCAGTCCTGAGTAGTGGAATCTCGACTGTCTGGTTGGTGCTGGTCTATAGTGATGATTACTTATTTACTAGAAAAAAAGAAATATTCAGTTGTTATTTAAACAGTTTTGTTCATTGTTAAGCACAAAGTTACATCATGGGCTATCTGTGGTGTGTTTACTGCAGGTATCCAAACCCAATTTTTAGCATTGTAAACCTCTCAGACTTACCACTGAGCCACCTGGGGGCTTGTTTAAACGAGGAATTTTCACTATAACTTCAAATGAAAATACATATTCTTTAAATATGTAAATGTATGTCTATAAATAATGATTTTTTTTCACTCTTTTATTCCCAGCACATCACTGTAGTTTTTTGACATTCGATGGCATGATAGAACCCTTGCCTCAAGACGAGACCATTCCCATAGCTGTTGGTGGTACCTTGGCAGTTATAGTGTTAATCCTTGTGACAGGGTTTGCTGCATACAGATGGATAACATCTAAGAGGGTGGACTATAACACAATGGAGTAATACAGATTACAGTGGAATGACAAAATGGTGGGAAATTGCACAGATTAGAGATGAAGTCAGTTATAAATAGGAAGAAGAGTGGCAGTTTTTATCACTTGAATAAAACAAGTAACTTTATTACAATACATTTTAAAACTCATAAAATCAGTAATAAGGAAGCAAGATTACTGTAGACGTATTTTATGGTACTGGCTGGACAACACTATGGAAGGATATACAAGGATACTATAGCTTTACTTGTTTTATTATACCCTTTGAACCAACAGTACGTAAGGACATGTAAGGTTACTATAGCTTTACTTGTTTTATTATACCCTTTGAACCAACGGTACGTAAGGACATGTAAGGTTACTATGGTGTTACTTGTTTTATTATACCCTATGAACCAACAGTAAGGAAGGACATGCAAGGTTACTATAGCTTTAATTATTTTATACCTTCCAAACCAATAAGAACATGTAACGTTACTATAGCTTTATTTATTTTATTATACTCTTTGAACCAGCAGCATGTAAGAACATGAAAGGTTACTATAGCTTTACTTGTTTTATTATACCTTCCAGGCCATCACTGTGGAAGGATATACAAGGTTACTATAGCTTTACTTGTTTTATCATACCCTTTGAACCAACAGTATGTAAGGACATGTAAGGTTACTATAGCTTTACTTGTTCTTATTATACCCTTCAAACCAACAGTACGTAAGGACATGTAAGGTTACTATAGCTTTACTTGTTTTATTATACCCTTTGAACCAACAGTACGTAAGGACATGTAACGTTACTATAGCTTTACTTGTTTTATTATACCCTTTGAATCAACAGTACGTAAGGACATGTAACATTACTATAGCTTTACTTGTTTTATTATACCCTTTGAACCAACAGTACGTAAGGACATGTAAGGTTACTATAGCTTTACTTGTTTTATTATACCCTTCAAACCAACAGTACGTAAGGACATGTAACGTTACTATAGCTTTACTTGTTTTATTATACCCTTCAAACCAACAGTACATAAGGACATGTAACGTTACTATAGCTTTACTTGTTTTATTATACCCTTCAAACCAACAGTACGTAAGGACATAGAAGGTTACTATCGCTTTACTTGTTTTATTATACCCTTTGAACCAACAGTACGTAAGGACATGTAAGGTTACTATAGTGTTACGTGTTTTATTATACCCTATGAACCAGCAGTAAGGAAGGACATGCAAGGTTACTATAGCTTGAATTATTTTATACCTTCCAAACCAATAAGAACATGTAACGTTACTATAGCTTTATTTATTTTATTATACTCTTTGAACCAGCAGCATGTAAGAACATGAAAGGTTACTATAGCTTTACTTGTTTTATTATACCTTCAAGGCCATCACTGTGGAAGGATATACAAGGTTACTATAACTTTACTTGTTATATTATACCTTCCAGGCCATCACTGTGGAAGATATACAAGGTTACTATGGCTTTACTTGTTTTATTATACCTTCCAGGCCATCACTGTGGAAGGACATACAAGGTTACTATAGCTTTACTTGTTATATTATACCTTCCAGGCCATCACTGTGGAAGGATATACAAGGTTACTATGGCTTTACTTGTTTTATTATACCTTCCAGGCCAACACTGTGGAAGGACATACAAGGTTACTCTAGCTTTACTTGTTATATTATACCTTCCAGGCTATCACTGTGGAAGGATATACAAGGTTACTATAGCTTTACTTGTTTTATTATACCCTTCAAACCAACAGTACATAATGATATAGAATGTTACTAAAACTTTACTTGTTTTATTATACTCTTCAAACCAACAGTACATAATGATATACAATGTTACTATAGCTTTACTTGTTTTATTATAGCCTTCAAACCAACAGTACATAATGATATACAATGTTACTATAGCTTTATCTGTTATAACTTCTGGGCCAACAATATGTTAAGACATACAGGGTTACTATTGCTTTTCTTGTTTTATTATACCTTCCAGGCTAACACTATGTAAGGACATACAGGGTTACTATAGCTTTATCTGTTTTGTTATACTGTTTAGACAGCACTGTGTAAAGTGATATGTTTGTGTATTTTTTAAGATAGATTACCAACAAAACATCAGAAGATAAAACAAATTGACATTAATTTATTTTTCAAAGAAAGATTTAAGCTATACTAAGGCCACAATGTCACTTGACTCAGTAGTTTTTTTCAGTTTTGTTCATTATTTGTACTCCTATGTTCATTCTATATGTACTTGTTTTCACTATAGTCCTGTGATTTTGATGCATAAGCCACTTTCAAGCAAAAAGTGTTAAAACACTTTTCTTACAGTGGTCTTGGCTTTTACCCAGATAAAATGGAAGAACCCATTACTTAAAGTAATCAAGATTACTTGTGTTTAATGTTACATGAAAAGAAAGTGAGCATTTTTCTGGCCAGTAAACTGTCAATAAAACTGATTTGCATTATTTAGTTCACTATATAAGTTCAGATAACTTATTTAATTACTTCTTACCTTTCCTTTTACAAATATATAGATACTATAAGGTAGGATTTACAGTGCCGCTAGATGTCGCACATAGAAAATGTACAATAGATGTATGGTTTATTTTTGTCATGCTTATAAACACCGTATTCAGAGCTTCTTTTTCTTGTTGACTGTTTGTTCTATTCTACTGTCTATAAACATTATATGTAGATATTATATTGTTCTCCATCACATCACTCCAACTACTGCATTCTACTTATGCAGGGATATTTTTTACATAAAGTTAGTCATTAGTGTATTAAAGATGTTATTAATTTATATAAATTTTCCTGTAAAATAAGCATTTACACACAATATTGGGTTGTGTGACTATATTGTTTGAGAAACTATGAGGCTCTGATTAATGCAGTATTTTACTTTAAATTGTAAAAATATTTACTTTTCTCCTGAAACCCACAACGTTTTCCTTATTTACATATTGTGTCCATTGCAGGATAAAAAAAAAAAGTAAATGTTTTGAGAAAAGTGTTTAATAGTACTAGATTTATCAGTTTAGTGAAAAATAATTTCAGAAGTTATAGAAAGATTACAAGAAATCTGTATTGGAAATGTCCTTAAGTTTACATTCTAGTAATTAACAAAGTTTTTGTTTTTCTTCCTGTCTGATATTGTTGGTAATAAAAATGTGTCTCTACAAGAACAGTACATCAGTATGACAGGCAAGAATATCAGGAGTGCCACTTAGGTAGAGCAAGGGGGCTTAATACAATTTTTTTTTTATTTGGGAACAATATATATATATATATATATGATGAATAATTTGAGAGGTTTAAATAGTTATTAACTAATATAGGAAATAATCTGAGCAAATGCTCACAAAATATTTTTTACATTTTAACCTTTGAAAACCAATGTCCATTCAGGGGCCTAAAAAATCCCCAGGACCTCCAATAAAAGTTACTCCACCCTCTATGGTAATCTTACATGGTGCTCCTGAAGAACACAAAGACATTTTCCTAGGTATTTCTGTAAGTTTTCTCCATTTTACTGATTATTTTACATGTCGGCTATGTAATGTTATGTAAATGCATGGTTTGTGTATCGGTAAAATTTTGATATGTAAGTATGTCACTTTATATACACTTAATCATCTTGTTACACAATTTAGAGACATTGTATTTATGGATTGCAAGTATTGACCAAAACAATTATTTTCCATCTCCAAAACCTAACAACCTTGCAGCAGCCAGTAGCTCAGTCTGTAGGCTTATAACACTAAAAATCAGGTTTCAATACCCATAGTGGGAACAGCACAGATACCCTATTGTGCAACTTTATTCTTAAGAACAAAGAAACAAGTATTTCAAGGATCGCTTTTAATAAACATTTTAATATTTCAATGCTTCATAAACTTTTTAGAATATAATGTTTTTCTTGAGTATATTGTCATTGCTTGTTACATATAGGTGGCATTACAAGCAATACCATACATGTTGTGGAATATTTGGAAACTAAGTGTTTGGGTAATTTTTCTTTGTAAAGATTTTATTTGATGAGGTCAACCTGGCAGGAATCAAGTATGATCAACATGTATATATGGTTCCCCAAAGTATGTTGATAAATGAGTTAGTTGACATCACCTAGTTATTGCTTTATTGCCCAAATTTCTTAAAAGTGTATGATGTATATTTGCTTTCACAAAGCTTTAAACAACAATATAAAAAGTGCTAATAAATGGCTTTTTTGTCAAAATGAATTGTTTTTTTATAGTTACAGGTATGTATATACACATACATACAGTTTAAGAACAATAGGGACTTTATGGTCTATTTAGGCTATCCTACCTCTGAACTTTAAAAACAAAACACTCAAAGCCAGCCCTTATCATTCAAATATTTATTAGGTCTTCTCTTAAACTCCCTTAAATTAACTGCATCTACCACATCTGAAGATAACCCATTCCAAGGACCAACCACCCTGTTTAAAAAATAAAGCTGTCTTAGCTGAAGATGACTCCTACCCTATCAAAATGTGTACTTGGGTGATCCTTAGTCTTACCATTCTCACCATTATGTATGAAACAAGTATGATCCATTAACACTTAATTCCCTTAACAATCTTAAACACCTCAGTAAAATCCCCTTTAACTTCATTTCTTCAAGAGAAAACAATTTCAAAGATATTGTTTGTTTTGAATTTCGTGCAAAGCTACACGAGGGCTATCTGTGCTAGCCGTCCCTAATTTAGCAGTGTAAGACTAGAGGGAAGGCAGCTAGTCATCACCACCCACCGCCAACCCTTGGGCTACTCTTTTACCAACGAATAGTGGGATTGACCGTCACATTATAACGCCCCCACGGCTGAAAGGGCAAGCATGTTTGGTGGGACGATTCAGAGATATTAACCTGTCCTTGTATGACAATGCTTTCATCCCAAGTATCATTTTAATAGCCTTTATCTGAACTCTTTCCAACAATGCAATGTCCTTTCTAAGGTAAGGCACCCAAAACTGAACACAATAATCTAAATGGGTGCCAACTAATACAAAGGAATTATAACCTGTGTAGATTTCTATTGACCTGGTGCGTCATAAGTAAAGTAGGCTTTGACATTATCACTACTGCCGAATGAAACAAGGTTCTTTCTATGTGTCTTTAAGCCAGATTTACATGATAGAATTCTGATGAAATTAGCTCGAGTTGACAGTATAAAAGCATCTATATGGAACATCTTATTGTAGTTCCAAAATCTAATTTATCAGTGCAGATCGTTTTTATGCAGCCAAATATTTATAACAACATTTAAACAGAGTTGATGACTTTTTACAAATTACCTTACATTTCTGTTTGTATTCTTACTCTAGCTATGATGATTTTGTACTTTGGTATGAAAGGCGTACCAAAATATTTATCAAAGTAGCAAATTGATAAGTGACACAAATGCACTATAAAAACTGTTAAAATATATTTTATTTATACTTCACAAAATTAGAAACAAACAAGTAAAATATAATGCTTTCAATTTTTCAAGGACGGAGATGTAGTACATGTAAAGCTACTCACTGATAGTCACAAATATATATATATACTAGAAATCAACTGTTGATAACCAATGTCATACAAAATTCTGTCACACTGAAACAAATCTTTACATTTCTAAATATGTATGTTTTAGATATTATACAGTTCATAGCCATATAAAAACAATGAAGTACCACTTACCAACAAATCATAATTCATATAAACGCTTATAACAAATTAATTTTAGTATGTTCTTAATCCTTTTTTCTAGAGTATAGCTTCATTACAAATTTTTCTTAGAAGGTAGAAAACTAAGCTATTTGATGGCACTTTAACATTGTCTGGTAAAAAGTAAAGATGATTCAAAATGTTTAATATTCTAATGATTTTGGCTTATTTATATTTATAGTATATTTTGAATATGAAATGATGTTTATTAGTAATTTAGATAAAAGACTTTATAAAAAGGCCGAGAAGTTGAATCTCATTTGTTTTTTGTAGCCTAATCACAAATGTCAGAAACATTTGTAAATCAAACTCCTTATTTTGGGTAATACACATGTATGTCAGCAAAAAAAAGCAGAAGCAGATGTATAGTCTTAGTAAGTCTTGTCATTAAAAATGAACTGCTACAAAGTTAAAAGGTTACTTGCAAGTTTCTGAAATGAAGTGTTTAGGAGTAGTTTTCTCCAAATCCCTGGAAAATGTATCTCAAGTTATAAAAAACTAACAGTTTTTTGAATAAGCTGTTTCACTTCTCAACCAATGATCACCAGCTGCTATAATTCTAATATGAATAAATCCTAGATGTCAATAAGTACATAAACAGGGTGAGGCTAAAGATACAAGCGAAAGCATTTTCTCGTTGTTACAGGAATGCCAAAAACCCGTAAGATATTAATCAGAACTAGCCATTTTAAACACCTATTATTCATAAACAGTGGCAGTTGCATATTTCACTAATAGGCATTTTAATAGACACAGATTACTGTTTTAATACTTTCATTTGCATACTGAAACAAATTGAAGATTTACCCTAAAGTTACACCAGTGATACTGTAAGGTACAAATGTTTTCAGAAATTATGAAGTAAAAAAAATATACTTAAAAACAGTGCTATGATGTTAATCTTTGATATGAGTGATGACAATGAATTGTTTGTTAAACAACTGTCTGAAAACAACTAACCTAATATTAGAGGTTATACAGACATATCTTTAGTAAAAAGGAATTTCAATGCATTAATAATATATTTACCAGTACAAGAAGCTGAGACATGTTAATTAGACTAATCTAACCAATGTTAGGAGCTGCTTAAAATCTTAACACATATCAAGGTACACATATATTGGAAGCATGTCACATTCTTAAAAAAAATAAAATAATATATATACATATATATATATATATTCTGTTGCTAATAGTCTATTTTCCAGACTTATTTTATAGTTTTTAATGCATTAAACAGAAGGTCTCTTACCATATTCTTCAGAAGCATTATTCTCAAACCCCATTCTTGAGGCATTACTCCCCAATTTTCTCTCCTAAAAAAAATCACTTTCTGGATTTACTACTCACAAATTTTGTACTAAAATCACTTTCTGGCGATACTACTCCCAAATTTTCTTTCCTAAATCCCTTTTTTGTAAGCACAACTTCCAAATATTCCTCTTTTTGGAGGTACTACCCTCAAGATCTCTGTAGGTCCTACTCTCAAATTTTCTAGCATCAAACCCTTTTCTGTAGGTACTACTCTGCTTCTTTTGCAACAGAAACTTAGGAATGTCAATTTGTGAAACTTACAATTGTCTTTACAACATAAAAGACATACCAAGGTTTGAAACAAAACCCACTGAGGCTAGCATAATTATTAGATAATTAAAAAAAAAGAAGAATAAATCAGTAAACTAAAAGATGACATTTGTGGTTCTATTAATTATTTCTGCACAAAAGGAGCAAGAATGTTTTTCTATTTCAGATTCTGACCATTTCTATTGTTCTTTTCTATGTTTTACCTCAGCTTTGGTGTAAATCCCATTAAGCATGGGAAAAAAAAAGAAATAATATAAATCTGGAACTGTCTGACATAATAAAAAGCATTTCTGTTGTGGAATGTTTTTGAGATCTATGTCTGCTTTAATTGACAAAATGATTGGGAATTTGTATATAAATGTATGCCTATGTATACAAAAAAATGTCTTTGCCCATTGTTTTACAGCCTTACTTATAACAACGTATTAAAATACAAGTACCTTAGAAATGATGTTTTTTGATAACTATTCAACACAGAAATTATGACCTACTTGATTTGATACATCAATAACTTAAAGCCTTTCTTTCACAGCAAAGAAAAGACTTCAATTTCTATAAAAGCACCATAATTTTTCTTCTAAATATGCACTGAATGATTATAATTATGATAAAAATACACCACTGTTATGATAATATATATATAAAATTAAGGCCCAAATACTGAAATCAGTTTATGTTAAGAAGCAGTAGTGACATCAAATGATTATGTAACATTAGATAAATGTTACATAATCATAAGTACAAGTGTGTTAGCTACTTGAAAAACAAATAAAAAAGTTTATATATATATATTTATATACACACACACATATATATATCAGTCTAAGCATCTTTTTTGTTGTGATACATGGTTCTCTTCTACCTGAGGATAACTATTTGTAATACACTTTTAAAGACAGAGAATGTCTGACCTTAGCTACGAGATAACAATTCATAAATTTAAATAATTATAAATGTTGCTGCAATCAACAAAACGTACCATTTTCTATATACTTTGGTAATAAAACAATACACAAGAATAAGTATGCACAACAGTACTATTCAACTTTGATCTGTACAAATCACTACTACATCATCCACCTATGTTACACATAACTTGCCTTACACTAGTACATGTCAACCAGTAGTTGTACATTGCAAAATATATGAAACATACATGATCATTTATTGAGAAAGTATTGTAGAATTAGCATCATTAATTTTTAAGAATATGTCAAATCACACAATATGAGCAACCTGAACTATACCTACTGATTATTGCTCCTACGTGTCTAGTAACAGTTATCTTATGTTGACGTGAAAAAAACACTTACTTTCATGACACACAAATTGCACATATCCAATACGACAGATTTATACACAATATCTGTAACCACACTATCTAATTTAACACCAAATGTATACACTAGTGAAGATTTACATTAACAAATTTCATAAAAGCCTTAACTCCATACCAGTCAACTCTAACAAAATTTTTATAAAATGGAATGCAATGTAAGTAATAAATGATCAAAAGTCAAACACTATCATGTTATTTGTTACTGAACATTAGAATGTCACTAACCATTCCAAGTAAAAGTGATGATCTAATATACCACTATTGGTTGAGTTTTCAGGACATTTTACACATTCATGGAGACACAGAAATTGTAAAAGAATAAGGACATGTATTCTATCTATCATCACCAAGTAAGGTTAGTTTCTAGTACAGAACACAGTGGTATTAGAAAATTACACAGTTCTGATAGGTATGTTAAATATATACAAATAAATCATCTTTAACACTGACAATATGTTTTTAACATTTTACTGCATACAAACACTACTGTGGCAGAATTGTGTTAAAATAATATTGTAAATTTTCTAAAGAAATGAGAATTCTAAAAATAATTTATTTACACTGAAGATGATTGGAAAACCATAGGAAAAAAGAATAGGGGATTCAGGTTCATATAACTATTAGCTAACAGAAGGTACTATGTGCATGTTTATTTTGTTTTCAAAGAAGGGAAAAAGGATTTTTCACTAATTGTTTTTTATTGATTAGTGTTAAACTGGTTTTATGTATACATTCACACTTTATTTTGAACAAATGCCTTCTGGTAAATCAGCGTTATCTTATTGAGATACATAACACCAGTGGGCTTATCAGAGCCTGTCTAAGACAGCTACATGATATACATCATTGATGAATCCAAACTTGTTGGATTCCACTGACTTCAGCCTGGCTGAGATGTGATCCCTTCATTTTGTTAGGCTGTTCTGAAAGAAGGGACCTGAACTTGATCTAGCTATCTTAAAGTAAAAATAGGAGATCTAGGGCTAGGACATAACGGGTACTGTTTTAAAGCCTTACATTTTAGATGTCCAGATAATTTTTTTTCTGATTTTTATTATTTCAAGTTTAAGGTATTTATCTGAGAGCATTTGAATCGCTTACAATGGAGTTAACAAAAATCAGCTGTAGCCCATACTATTATAGAGAAAATCTAAAAAGCCTGTACCTGTTTTCTGTAAAGTACTGCAAATGATTGGGTATAATGATAAAATAGAAATTTCATTTTATAATAATTGTGAAACTGAGAAGTTATTTGATCTCCATGATACAGCACTTTTTGTGTAGACTGATAGATTTCTTTACAAAATTTGTCTCTGTGATAACCCGGGTCATGTAAACACTATAAAAGTATTATGTTACTTAACAAATTATAACTTTAACTTTGAATATATAGAAATGTTCTTTAGATTAGCAACCTTTTACTTAATGCTTTTTATTACATACTAAAGATCTGCAGTTGTTCCCAAGCTCTATCAAACACTTGTAGTTATTTAATGTCTTCCATATAAAACAATATACTCCTGTATTACCATGCAAAATCAAGTGTATACAGAAAGACAATGGATACAGTGATACTACCTATATGGAAAATTCATTTCACACATGTAAAGCTACACTAAGTATCCCTAAAATGTACAAAGAAGGAGTATTATAATACATGCATTCATAAGGCATCATGTTCTCCCTCTTTCATGAAACCTAAGCCTTCTATTACTGTTAGTAAGTAATGTTTAATCCTTAACAGAAAAAATACAACTCAAACAGATTAAACTAACTTTGTTAAGCTTCCTGTTAAATGGAAATTAAACCACAAAACGTTAATGTACTAAAATAACCTTTCAAACTTTTACATTCATGAATAAAATTGCCAGGCTTGAGATAGCCAGTTAAGTTTTAAAAACAAATATCAAAATGGAATGTTTGAAAACACATAGAAAAAAAAATATATCAAGCTTCACAAAATTTAACAGTGCTAAAGTCAACATTCCTATAACACTAAATTTGAATCATGATTACATGCACATGTTGTTAAGTCCTACAAGTCACTCAGATAACTAAATAACTAAAAAACTGTACTGAAATTATAAAACAACCACAAGAAAATGTTTTCCTTATTAATATTTCCTGAATACAGCTGTATACTTTCACAAAAGATAAGAGAAAAATACAAGTTAGCAAGCTTTGCTGCAAATTGTCAAGCTCTTGCTACAAATTAACAACATAACTAGAACAAATTCTTTGGTTCATCTACATGACTAACATAATTTTCAATCAACAACCAATGATGACTGCTCAATCTCTAGTTTGTACCAAAGGTCAATTATATGTTCAACTTTACTTCTGTTTTTGTCATGAAATTTTATCTATTTTTATTAAATTATTTATGAAAAACTAGAGAATATGTTGAGAATAAACATGATATAGGTTTTTAATAAACTTTTTAAATACTTTATACAGTTATTAATCAATTTTAGAGATATTTATTTTACCAAAGAAAATAATTCAAAAACAATATTTACTATTTAAATGTACAGATTAGTCCAAAATAACCAGTAATGAATAAAATTGAATTCATCTGTTATAAATCTACCAAAGTAGCCATATCAACATACTTTTTTATGTATATTCAAATATATATACTTGTACAAAATAAAATGATATCATAATGACGTGTGTAATCAATATGATAAAATATTTGTATATATATACACACTGATCGTTCAATGGATACACCTCTCTAAAATAGAATGATATAAGGGTAAACAAATTTCAGGAAGTAATTTTTTTTTAATCATAGAAATGGTGAAGATATCTATGACACAGTATAGAAATAAAATTATACTATAATGATAAAAGAATAAAGCATTTACTGACATTTGTGTGGTCACATAATTATAATTACATTAAAAATTAACTAATAATAGCCACATAAAAGTCAGTGAAAAATATAACAGATATGTTTGCTACAGGTATAAACATATTTCTTTGCATTTTGTTATAAAACTACTGCTGAAGGCTATAAAGCAAAACATCTTCATAATAAAAAATATTAATGAGGTCAACTTATTTTATCATATTATGCATGATTTGTGAACAAAGTAAAGGATTTTAAAAGTTTTAACATTTACAATACTTTCACTAGCCAGATTAAGAATTATACTTACACTCTTACATGTATAGCTTGATAATAAAGTATTTCATGCAACAAAATATTCCATTTTTACATTCTCCACTAAATCATTACCAGTATTATTTTATATTTGGTAAACAGGAGATATGATTGACAGAATTAAAACTATTACTATCCAGAAACTGTAAACACAAAATAATGCCCATTTATTCTTGAAGTTATGGTACTGTACAAACTTTTGTTGATTGGGCACTGAATTATATACATTACCATATCATAACTTGTATAAACCATGATCAGGCTCAATTAAGTTCCCATTTGGAAATACCCAAAGCATTAGAGGAAAGAAATATTTCCACAGAAATACAATACTTCTCATATACAGTCTTCTTTATGGAATTTATTCTTTATATGGATCCAACTAGAGAAAGTATTGCACAAGTTACCTTTCAAAAAATATGTTCTGGGTTTTCATACTTCTTACAGTTGAAAATGAATAGTATTTGGAAAAACAGGTCATATGGAGAACTGACCCTTGGTTATGGATGTGGATGAACTTGAGGCATTAAAGGGACAAGTTGGCTGGACGGACCAGCCTGACGAAGAAATGGATGGTGCAAGAGTTCAAATGCTGTGGCACGCTGGCTAGGGTCTCTGATGAGCATTTTATCTATAAATCCTTGTAAGCGTGGAGATACCTGTACACAACAGAAATAAACCTCAATAGTTGTTGAAACTGTAAAACAAATTAATTAAGGCAAAAACTGTTATACTGAAAGATACTGTATTTAATAACACTCATACTACTGGCAAGTTTTCTTGATAAAGCAAGCAAAATTTTAGCTGAGAAAGTACTTTAATTGTACTTTCAAACACCTACTGTTTGAACAGAGGGCAGAAGTTAATATTGTAATGCTTCTTCAACCGACAGTACTAGTATTTTAACAGCTGTTTTTAATAAGCATTACTTAAGTTGATATCATTAGAATCTAGTAATAAAAATATAATATATCAATGTTGTGCTATAGAGTAAATTTAACTTCCTGATAAACAACTTTGCCAATAAATTCTTCCTACCTTGTGACTGTTTTTCAATCGTGGAGGTGGTAAGTCTCGAATCCTCTTCATTGCTGTAAGAGGAGGTTCATTGAAGAAGGGAGGTTCTCCATCAACCATTTCTATCACCATGATTCCAAGAGACCAAATATCCACCTAACCACCACAAAACATATTTTAACACAAGTTTTACATATTCAAAAAAAATAGTATTTTTCTACCGACAAACAATAAAGGTTTTAAGTAGACATAAAATGCAGCATCCTATTATTATTATATTCCTGTAAGAATTCTTAGTTAATATAACTATATAAAGCAACCTATGTTACAATATAATTTTTTTATATTTCCTTCCTTAACCTGATAATACTTCTGTTTAATTATCAAATATTCTTAGTTAACAAACGAAAGTACATTGTTGCCTAAGAATGAGAAATACAAGATACTCCTTATATTCCTTCAACCTTTACTTGATAGATAACTATAAAAGTTCTGGGTAATATGTACTAGTTTTTAATGTCCATTTAACAACCCTGAAATAATAGCCTTAAAAATCTTCATTTCACAAAGCACTAAAAAAAAACCTACTTGTAATAAAAGAAATGTGTATCGTTTTAGTTTTCCCCATAGAATCATACTTAACTTTAAAATTAGTAGCACAAAGCCAAAATTTATTCCATTTCTCTCTTATGTTTTTTATGATGTATGTATAGTTTAAACCTGAATAACCAAAACAATATGTACACCATTTGAGAGTCTATGACTTACTGAAAACCTTACTTGATAATATTTGTCTTCAAAATGATTTAGCTTAAACATGAAGTTATACTCTATTATTTGAATTTTCTGGTTAACATCTACATCTACAAATAATTGTGACATAAAAGTTTTTCCAAACTCCACTACAATCTATATGATCAATCATATTTATTTTGAAAGCTAATACAGGTTTTTCCTACCACATAACAATATCATTCTACATATGAGGAGAAACAAAAAAAACCTTGACAAGCAGAATAACAAGAGATTAACTTGCCTTACAATGTAAATGATACTTTTTTGAAAACAAATGAAATTCCTCAATGTACAATGATTTGAAAATATTTGTGTATATAAATGTTTCCATTACACAAAGGTTTAAACAGGAATCCACTAGATAGGCTCATATTTATGATGATGTATTCAATGTTGTAAAAAATGCATAATTTTTAATTATGCAACAATACAACATACAAAAAAAACCTCTACGTAGCTGGGAAACAATTTGAAAACACTTGTTAATGTTATAAGTAACATGCTGATTCATAAACCTAAAACATTACCAAAAATATTAGGGCATAATAACCAATTGAAGATTCGGTTAAATATGAAGTATTTTTATATTTCTTACGTTTCATATACACATCCACACACACACACACATATATATATATATATATTGGTGTACTTTGGTGACAGATTCTCTT